TAAAAACTACTTAATAATTGTGATTAATTCATATGTCAGTAATTTCTTAAAAGCATTCTGCTGGGTATGATTAAGTTTAGGTAAGAAAACCTTATTCTGTATCTAAAAAACTGTGTTATACCCTGGAAAAAACTTCTGTAACTAGTACAATTTGTAATTTGTCAAAATTTTTAGGAATAAAATAAATATTTTATCACCATTGAATTTTAGAAGGTGGTGCTTTGTGGAAATGTGAGCTCTGCAGCGAATTTTTGTGCTCACAAGTACTTTTACGCACAATTCAGACATATAATATGGCCGTTTAAATATTATAGCCATTTGATATATTGTCATGTTAATTTATCTCCGGCTATCCTATCCTCTCTTATATTATGACATCAATACAATGACACGTCAGTTACCCTGACGTGAGTCCTTTCATGTATTCTTAATTCCCCTCTTGAAAGTCTGCTATTCCATTGGCTGGACAGATTCACCGTGCCGAGCTGTGCGCCAATAGTTTGGCTGAAAGGCATTAATTAATAACATGTTTTATATTTTTATTATAAAGGACATGATGTTTCGTTCGAAGGGGTGCTACAATTGTACAGTAATGTGTATAAACGACGGTTAGTTTTTCAATGTGCGTTGGCAAGTTGAAATAGAGTTTATACCTATAATTTTAACGAAATTCTTGCATAAGATAGTTGAAAAGTAAATTGCACAAAAGTTCTTTGCTACCTCAGTCTGTGACATACCTTGGTGCGGAATATAATGATCTACAGGTCATATAACTCACAGAATATAGCATTTTGGTCCCGAATATACACATGATTATTATCAATGTGTAACGTACAGAAAAGTTTTGATAATGTAGGCTAGGGAAAAGAGCTGGGAAATGACCATTTCGCGACTTTTTATTTCGGCAAACTGAATTTATCACTATAGATCCTAAATATCATGTACAATAACATATTAGTTTCTACATTCATAAAAATGGGGGAAGATTGTTTGCAGGCTAGTTAATTGTATAATTTTTACAATTTAATTTCAAGTTTTTCGCGTATTTCCACGAGAAAACAGTAAAGTACTTTTTTACGTCTTCAAAAGACCTACAAAACTAGTACTCGAGCGTAAAAAATATTGATTAGATCAAAAGTTATAAATAGAAGAAATTTATTTATGACTTGAATTAAATATTTTTTTTATAAACTGCGTTATTATTACCAGAACGTTTTGACATCGCATCCTCTCATTCCTCATCACTGTCTAATAATATCAAATTGAATAGTTTACAACTATAATTTATTAGTCTGGACGATCGCGAGCATCTTCCACAATCGCACTGATATTTTTCATGGTAGATTTCATAGTAATACATTGAAATCTATATTTTTTCTTAATTTCAAATTTGCAACCTCGAAGGTTTTTTTATTTTTTGGCCTTAGTTGCAAAATTAAACATACGACGCACGGGCGTGATATAGTTATACAGGGTGTCCGGAAATGATGAGCAAAAAATTCAGGGGATAATTCTAGACCGAAAATAAATCCTACCTCTTTCTATAACATTTTTTCCAAAACTGATTATTATTAACCCAAAACTGATTATTAACGGAGTTACAAGGTGTTAAAGTTAAATTTTATTTGCAGTTTTTTTGCAATACCTTTTGCCACACTCATAATATTTTGACGAAATTTCGTATATGGGGGTTTTTCGGGATGAGGATTATAAATTTGCCCACCGTTTTTTCGTATTTTGTAGAGGGCGCCACATACGAGCCTTTATTTTGATTTTAATGGTTCCAACTTTTTTGTGCTACACTTTATGCGAAATTTGACTGAATATTTTTGTTCTCCTAACATAAAAAAGGTATAATATATAAGAAATTATTCTAAAGCAAAGACTTACTAGTTTTTTTGAAAGTAATCTTTTGTTAAATGCATATCAATTTGGTTTTAGAAGTGGCCTCTCTACTACCCATGCTCTCTCCAACCTAACGAAATTTGTTGTTGAAGGACTTGAGGAGGGATTACATTGTGCTATTACAGCTTGTGATCTAACCAAGGCATTCGACTGTATTTCACACGATATATTAATTAAAAATTTGGAATATTATGGGGTAAGGGGCCTACCAGCTTTGTTACTGAAATCATATTTAAATAATCGTAAACAATTTGTTTCAATTAATGATGATAATTGTAGCAATCAATTAGTTCGATATGGAGTACCTCAGGGTTCCGTACTAGGTCCACTTTTATTTTTAATTTATGTCAATGATTTTATACATTTTATGTCGCCAAAAAAATGTATTCTCTTTGCGGATGATACAACTCTGTTTAATACAAATGACGGTTTAGAGTCCCTGATGGACTCTATGTCAATTACTGATGAGATGGCAAAAAACTGGTTTTCTGCAAATAATTTAACCATCAACCCAGAAAAAACTCAGAAATTGTTTTTGTCTAATAAAATGACCAAACATAATAATAATAATTCATTGCATGTGTTGGGAGTGGATATTGATTCAGGTTTATCCTGGAAAGATCATGTAAATAACCTCTGTGTAAAGTTGTCAAGTATAATATTTTTATTTAGACAGTTACGTATGCTCGTAAATAGTGATATCTTACGTGGTATCTATTTTAGTTTATTTCATTCACGCATTTCATACGCTGTCGTTTTGTGGGGTAATTCCAGTGCGGCCGGAAAAGTTTTTCGTCAACAAAAGAAAATAATTCGTATTTTAGCCATGGCTAATCACCGCGATCAATGTCGCCCTCTTTTTTTAAATTTTAGTATAATGCCCTTGCCTTCTTTATTTATTTATCAGAGTCTTTTAGACATACATAGTAATAGGAAAGATTTTAGTGTACAGGGTGACATTCATAGCTACAGTACAAGGAAGGCAAATTTTTTGAGACCACCTAAATTTAAATTAACAAAATCCAAAAAAAATCCCTAAATTTAAATATGTATAATAAACTAAGCCCAATAACTAGATCGTTACAATTTATAATGTTTAAAAATAAAATAAAAAGTTATATTACAAATAAAGCCTTCTATTCTGTAAGTGAATATTTTGAGGTACAACTATTATTTAACTTCTAATAATTAATAATATAATTAATTATTAATTAATCTAATAATGTTATGTTCTGTGTGAATTTTGTTAAATTATTTTAACGTTGTGTTTAATGATTTATACATTGTACTTTTTTTGAATAATATTATTAACTGTACAGTTCAAATTTTAACTGAAAATTGACATACCACATGTGTACGGATGTATGTAAACAGTGGTCAAATAAAATATCTATCTATCTATCTATACTTTATTTGTTTCGATAAATCTAACCGTTTTCGAGAAAAACGCTAAAATAACATTGCTTGCATGTGATGAATACGAAATCATTTTAATTTATTTTCTACATTAAACATAGAATGCTTTGGAAACAAGCGCTTAGTTGCCTTGGAAACAAGTTTGTGGAGAATTAGTTTTGACAGATAGTAATTTTTGTGAAAATTTGTTGTTACGATGGTGGTTAATGATAAATAATAAAAAAATAACGTCCTCAACAAATAAGAATGGTTTACTAACAAAATCATAAGGTTAAAATACATAAGTTACTAGAACAATACAAATACAAATTAAACATTCAAATCAAAGGTTCAAAGTGACGTCCTTCCTCTTCAATGCATAAAATAATTATTCATAAAAAATTCCGACGAACTCTATTCTTTCTCTCAGTTCATCGACGCTATTCACAGGTGTCCTGTATACAAGCGTCTTCAGATAGCCCCAAAAAAAGAAATCGATTGGGTTTAAGTCAGGGGATCTAGGGGCCCACTGTACAAAACCTTTCAGGAAAAGTTTCATTTAAGAATTCTCTGGCCGCTAAACTAAAATGCGGTGGCACGCCATCTTGAAACAGCCACATTGCATTTCTTAATCCGAGTGGTACATCTTCCAATAGAATAGGTAAGTAGTTTCTTAAAAAATCCAAGTAAACTTCACCTTTGAGTCTTTGTGGAAAGAAATGTGGCCCGATTAAGTAGTCCCCTACAATACCGGCCCACACGTTGACGGGAAACTTATTTTGATAACCACGCTCTATTGATAAATTAGGATTCTCATCAGACCAAAAATGCTCATTGTGGAGGTGGAGATTGAAAAACAACGGAGTTACAGACTGTTAAATATATTATTTTCAAGCGAATTTCGCTTTTTTAACGGCAGGACTATGAATATCATCGTCATTTTCTTCGGACTCGCTGTCGTTCGCTTCCCCCACCCTTCCGCCACGCCACGGCTCGCCGAAAAATCAAGCGACCCATTGAGTTTTGGCAATATTTCTTATGCACTTAACATACTTCTACAAATAAAATATTTTTATCTGGGAAAGTACTCGGGTTGCCGGTTATGACAGTATTTTTTTGCCACTACCAACCTAATTTGTTTAACAATAGGTCGTCAACTTTGATAGTGTGTAACTCCGTTGTTTTTCAACGAATCTTGACGATTTTTTTTTTAACTTAAAGCTCTTTTCATAAGAGTTCCGAATATGTAATAACTAGGGTAAATCTAGGAGAGATGCAATATATTATCATATTCCAACAAAAATAATGTCACACTTTTCAGTTATAATATGAATGCCAAGGTCTTGAATAGAATAAATGATATTGTTGATCCGGGTGTAAAGTTTACCCAATTAACTTTCAGAAGTCATATTGAGAATATTGTTTAGTTTATTTGCTTATAAAAATATAGGTTTTTTTTTAATAAGATATTTTAGATGTTTTGATGATATCGATTTATTTACTCTACAATTCATTTTTGATCCAGGTTACAATAAGTATTCCAATAGCATTTAAAATATCCAGCGTTGTAATCTAAATTGTTTAAAGTAAATAGGTATATTTAATAAAATTATAGTAAAATTAAATACAATAATTTATTGGTAATGTATGACACAAATGGTAATTCATATTTTCTATTTCTATTCTATATTACAGTCAACAGTTTACAAATTTAAAAGAAATAAGTGTTTTCATTATAGTAGATGTTTCTCAAATACCTATTCATTTAAAAAGCAGAATAGTGCGGATTGTTCTCCATTTATTTGATTTTTGACAACGTTGGCACCCAACACAACAAATCAATAAATAAAGATGTAATAAAATAATACGATCTATCCTCTTTCCAATCGTTGTGTAGTTTCAAAAGCGAACTCAAAATTTGGGTATCCAACCCTCGGGTTCAAACTGCACTAAAGTGAGTATAGCATACGCGGCCATAGCAAAGTTAAAGGTTCCAGACAGCACTGGTGACGTCTGCAATATGCAATCTTCCCCCCTTTTCAGTCCAAAATAGGCAAGAGCCATCAAAACGCCAGCTCCGCAAGCGAAATAGTTTCCGAAAAGTGCCCCCACAATTATAGAGGAAGGGATGCTGATAATGAGCGCTAGATCACTAAGGTCCAACCTTTTGTATTCCATGAAGGCGAAGAAGAGGAAAGCTGTTAGGCCAAGAAGGCAGTGCGCCACGGCGATTTCTTTGGGACCTGCGTCATGCTTCTGCCAGAGCACTGCTGTCAAGAACGGATGAGACAGGACTACTTGGCCGTAGTCCAGAAGGATTCTCAAATCGAGGAATGCCTCTTCGTTAACTGAAAAAAAAATAATAATAGGCGAATATTTGAAATTATTTATTTTAATTTTTACAAAGAACCTCGCACAAAATCAATGAAAAATGGGTCCCAGTCGATTTTGCTGAATAGTCCAGTTGGTAGAGGTTCGGCGTGTGTCAAACCTTGATAACTCGGAAATAACTACACAGGTCTACTTTAAATGATGAGTACAATAACAGGCTAATTTGCTGACAAAGTATTTTATCAGGAAAAAAAATTATTAACAATTTAATCGTGAAAAAAATTTTTTAGTAGTTTTCTTTAAATAACTCAGCGGGATGACTTTGTACGAAAAAATGCTTAGGACATGATTTTGTTCGTAATAAAAATAGCTACAAAATGGCGGTGGTCCGATTACGAAATTTGCAATAACAAAGCCGTGAGATTGAAAAACGGTATAAAACGTCAATTTTTTTAAGTTGCTGTAAAAATGTCAATTATAAACAAAAAGTGATAAAACTTTCGAAAACTATAGTTCAATATATATACAATAATGACGCTAAAGCCGAAAATCAGGAGAGCAAAACTTTTTGTTCTATAAGGTGTTATACATTCATCGGCATCTGAAACTCGAAACTTTGCCAAATTTGTTCGAAGCTTTGCTGACACTTGAAATTTGGTACACACATAGTGTAAATATGCAGAAACCAAAAGCAATTTGCAAAATTCAAGTATCTTCATTTTTGCAGTTTTGGTAAGGTTTTATACGTCACCCTAGTTTTATACGTCTCCGTTTTTTTAATTTTTGGACGTATATTTATGTATATTTATAATTACGGTAGATTAGCCAGCATAATTACCTACAATTTAAAAAAATATATATTTTCATCGTTTAGATCCTAAGCTACTTAACATTTTGCGCCTGTTAGCCGTAGTCGTACATTATTCAACATATTAACATAAAACAAAATCGTACGTGTGGGGTAAACCTTTTTTACCTTTTGTAGCTATTTTTATTACGAACAAAATCATATCCTAAGCATTTTTTCGTACAAAGTCATCCGGCTGAGTTATTTAAAGAAAACTACTATAAAAAATTTTTTTCACGATTAAACTGTTAATAACTTTTTTTCCTGAAAAAATACTTTGTCAGCAAATTAGCCTGTTATTGTACTCATCATTTAAAGTAGACCTGTGTAGTTATTTCCGAGTTATCAAGAAAATGTCACCAGCAGTAACTCTTCGGCCTCTGCCGACTGGAGTAGTTATAGTTTTTGACTTTCTGGTCAAAAGTTGTCATGGGCCCAAAGTGATCCTATGAATAATTTCAGAGATAAGGAGGGGGGAAGTATGTGATTTTGGCTATAGGCCTGAGTAAGCTTCACGAAGTTTCAAGTTGATGGATTGAAAAACTGAGGCATGTAATGAATTTTGACCAGTAGGTACAATGCTTTTGAGATCGCTGAACCTGAATTCGGGGATAGCTTAGCTATCTAAGGTCACCTGGAGGTCAGGTAAAGATCGTTTCAAGATCAATCTGAAGAAAAGACTTGTATTGATTTTTGTCCAGCGAGTGTATAGGTTTTTGGGCTCGTAGAATCTGAATCTGGAGATAGCGTAACCCTAAAGGTCACCTTCAAGTCAATTCAAGGTCATTTCAAGATCAAACTAAAGAAAAGGCTTGTATTGAATTTCAACCAGTCCGTATATAAGTTTCTTTTGGGGGGGGGGAACTGAATTCGGGGATAGCTTAGCCCTACAAGGTCACATTTAGGTCAAGTCAAGATCATTTCAAGGCCAAAGTAAAGAAAAGGCCTTTCACGAATGTTAACCTGTAAGTATGTATGCTTTTGAGGTCGCTGACCTGAATTCAGGGATAGCTTTAGCCCTATAAGGTCTAAGGGAACAAAATTCATATTTTTTATCTGGTTGAAATTTTAAAAAATCGCTGAAACAGGTCCATTAGTAAATAGAAATTGTCACTTTTCTTCCATATTTTCTATTTTTTTGAGCCATGTTTGACAGATATTACCGACATTTTTATAGTATAAATAGATAGCCCTTCAACAGACGGATTAAGCGATATAAGGTTATACCTACTTTTTGGTCATAGTTGACAAAAAATGGAGGCATTAAAATAATAATTTAGTACTACTTTTTATTTTATTACAGCAGATGTTCAAAGTGGCCCCCATTAACCATTGCACAATGCGCAATTCGATGTTCAAAGTTATCAATTAAATTTTGAATAACATTTGGTGTTATGTTTCGAACTTCTCTGATAAGATTTTTCGATCCTTCGATAGTATCTGGTCTGTTCACCTACACTCTTTAATCCAACCAAATTACACTTGGAGAAAAGAAATTGTTACCTGGACTTTTATAAGTGGAAATGGTAAAAGGGCTTATAATAAACCTACAAAAAATAAATGCGTGAACAGGGCGGCGGAAGGTTGATTTGGGGGGGTTGAAAAGTTATGAAAAATGTAGCATTGGGATTTCTGGCGAAAGTTGACGTCAAACAAAAAAGTATCCACTGCAAAAGTTGTAGATTATGAAAATATCTACAATTTTTGTAGAGGACACTTTTTAACATAACCTCAAAATTTCCGAGAAAAATGCGAAAAACGGGTATTTCTCTGATTTTTCGTTTTTTTTTTCTCATTTCCGCAAAAATAATTTAATTTTGACGAAACTTGGTAAAAGTATACCTTTCTCTGTCTTAAATAACCTCAAATTTTTTAGATAAAAAAATCAAGAAGTTTCTGAAATATTCATATTTTTCGGCCTGAAACACTTTTTTCAAAGAAAAATTCTACTTAAAAAAATCATCGTACAGAGTTCTGCCGGTAATATTTTTTTTCGTTTTGACATATACTTTTTAGTGAAATAAAAAAATCTGTAATAACAGTTCAAAAATATGCTCAAAAATGCAAAAAAAAATAAAAAATGACTTGCAACAATGAACTTTTCAGTTATTGTTGATAATTTGTTTAAATTAAAAAACATTCAGCAACTGATTACACCATTCAATTCTACGGAAAAAAAAATTAAAAAAAACTGTGCCTCATTGTTTGACTCAAAACTTTATTTTTGTACAGTATTATTATAATCATCTAAGTCGAATTACAAATGCACAAATGATAAATTATCTATGGATGATTTGAGATTTCAGCAATACAAAGTATTAACTGCAAAGTCTACTGTTGACGCGAAATCCGACAACCCGAAATTTTGCAAAATCGTTTTATTTTTTTCTGGCTTTATTTGAAGACGAATTTTAAATAAATTGCATATTTACATTGCCACTTTTTTCACTCTATCCAATGGCGTCAACATTTTTGCAATCCGACGATTCGTCTTCGAGGGGCCATCATCAGATTATTTTTTTTTAAATATATCGCTTTTATTTTTTTGACAAAATCTAGTCATTTTTAATTCTGTATTAGATGATATTACTATTGTAATCGCTTAAACAGGTTTTTAGCTATCATTAAAAATCTTTCCTGAGTACGGCTCTGGACGCTTTCAAAATACCTATTGGAGGAGAGAGAGAGAGAGCGGACAGAATAAAAGTCAATACAGCACAAAATGTCCAACAATTTTTTTTAATCCACAATTTAAAAAGTTGTACCTAATAGAAAAATAATACGAATTTATGAAATATTTTATTATTTCTAATTAGTATTGCTAACAGTAGTAAAAAATTGTTGGATATTTTGTGCGGTATTGACTTTTATACTGTTATGATTAAAAACTATTTAAGCGATTACAATAGTAAAATCCCCCAATTCAGAATTAAAAATGATTTTAGATTTTATCATAAAAATTGCTGCAATGTATTTAAAAAAATTAACCTGATGATGGCCCCTTGAAGACGAAGCGTCGGATTGCAAAAATGTTGACGCCATTGTATAGAGCGAAAAAAGTTGCATTGTAAATATTTAATTTATTTTAAAATTCGTTTCCGAATAAAGCCAGAAAAAATTAATAAATTTTGCAAAATTTCGAGTTTTTCCGGATATCTCCGGAACTACTCGGAATTTTAAAACTTTCTAAACAGCATATTGTTAGGTATAAAAAAACTTTTTTCTAATATGAGCCAACCCGTATCTCTTACCGTTTCCTAGATCCTAATGCAATCCCATCCATATTTTGGACGCACTATATATCTATGAATTCATCAAACTTTAAAAAAAAATAAGTAAGTTCACTAATCGATCCTACGGAAAAAAATTATTATTTATTTTATTTGTTCACTATTCGACTTATGTTTATAGCAGTACTGTATGTACAAAAATAGTTTTGGGTCAAACAATGAGACAGTTTTTTTTTTGTATTTTTTCCGTACAATTGAATGGTGTAATCAGTTTTTGATTTTTTTTTAATTTAAACAAATTATCAACAATTACTGAAAAATTCATTGCTGCAAGTCATTTTTTACTTTTTTGCATTTTGAGCATGTTTTGAACTGTGATTACAATTTTTTTTATTTCACCAAAAAGTATGTCAAAACGAAAAAAATTATTACCTGCAAAACTGTACGATGATTTTTTTAAGTTTTCTTTGAAAAAAAGTGTTTCAGGCCAAAAAAATTAATATCTCAAAAAATTCTTCATTTTTGTATCTAAAAAAAATTGAGGTTATTTAAGACAACGAAAGGTATACTTTCACCAAGTTTCGTCAAAATTAAATTATTTTTGCGGAAATGAGAAATAAAAAACGAAATATCAGAAAAAAACTGTTTTTTGCATTTTTCTCGGAAATTTTCAGGTTATGTTAAAAAATGATCTCTACAAGAGTTGTAGATTTTTGCATGATCTACAACTTTTGTATTAGACACTTTTTTGTTTAACGCCAACTTCGCCAGAAATCCCAATGATACAATTTTTCATAACTTTTCAACCCCCCAAATCAACCCTCCACCGCCCCTGCTCACGCATTAATTTTTTTTCGTTTATTATAAACCCCTTTACCATTTCCACTTATGAAAGTCCAGGTAACAATTTTCTTTTTTTTCCCTTTAAATGAGTTATTTTGATCGGTCTACTTTGCTTTTTAATAATAATAATAATCACCAGCAGGCATATCGTGCTCATCAGGGTTAGAAAAAATTTATTTCAGGGCTGGAAAACACAAAAAATCCAAGTAAATGTCAACTTCAAATTGCCTTCAAAGAAATAAGGTATGCGATTTCCTACTATTCCAACCCAAACGTTCACTTTTTGCGACCGTTGTGTATGTTTTTCTTGCATCCAATGCGGATTTCTTGAGCTCCAAAACCTATATTTTGCCTGTTCACGGTTCTTTTTAAGCAAAAAGTTGCTTCGTCAATGAAAATCATATGATTTTTTCAAATAAATTTCTAATTTCCTCGCAAAACTGTAATCTTATGTCTGTGTCATCTGCGCATAGTTCTTGTAAGACGTAAACTTTGTAAGGATTCCACTTTTGAGACTTCAGAGTTCTGTGAACTGAGGACTTCGACAAGTTGAAGTTGGCTGAGATACATCTAATGGATGAGTGAGGATTTTCAGTAACGGCGAGCATCACATTTAGATGGTCATTTTCGCTTACCGTTCTTCGCCTTCCTAATCCAGGTAAATCTTTTATACTTTCGGTTTCTTCAAACTTTTTGGATACTTTACTTACTGTAACTCGACTAATTCTCTTGTCTGGATATTTATGGTGAAATAAGTCACATACCTACCTTCTGTTAACTACGGATTTTATCTTTTTCAAAATAATTTAACAACGAATGAATTGAAACTAAAACGATTCACGTCATACCTATGGTACTCTGGTGAATTTTATGTGTTTATAGCGGTTTTTTTATGGAAAAAAAACCTTTAAAGTAGGTAGAAAAGGATTAATGAACAGTAGGTACGTTTTTTAAAGTACATAAGAGACTAAGACTGTTTGAAATAGCCCTCAGCGCGACATAAAAGACAATTTTTTACATTTTTTTGACAACTATGACAAAAAAGTAGGTACATAATAACCTTATATCGCTGAATTCGTCTTTAGAAGGGCTATCTATTTACTACAGAATTTGCTATAAAATATAGAGCGTCCTGTTAAAAAAAAAATTCGGTAATAGAAAGAAATAGAAAATATTGCAGAAAAGTGACAATTTCTATTTACTAATTGACCTGCTTCAGCGATTTTTTAAAATCTGAACTGGAAAAAATACGAATTTTGTTCCATCATTTTGGGCAACAGTGTATACCTCAAAATTACTCGGAAAAAGTTAAAGAAAATTAAATTCTAAAATTATTCTTTTGATGTACATACCTACTATTTCTATTACAATCTGAAATACCCATTCAAGCATTTTTTTTAATAAGTATATTGTCGCAAGTTAATAGATATTATAATATCTCTTTCAAACCAATCCGTTAAATCACTTACCGATTCTAGAGAGGCCAACTAGTCCATTCATGAACATTGTCAAGTACGCAACATAGCCCAAATCTAAAAAATTCTTGCCCATAATGTTGGTATAGTACATAACGAGGCAATACAAATTTATCACAGTCAGCACAATATGAGAAGCAAAAGGGATGATCTTTGCTTTGACAACTGATGGTTTGCTTTTCACCGATATTTTGGCTTTCATTGTGAATTTTGATTAAGTGAAACTAAAATTTTGAATTAGATGATAAAAAATGTTTGACATTGACTGCAGTTTCGAGTGTCAAGTACCAAAACAATCGCGTGTTTTACAAAGTATAATAGGTTGACTTGTTTTTGGAAAAGTTTTGGCTTTGATAAGCTAGTTCGAAAGTAGTAGGTATACTCAAGATGCATGGTAAACAAACCGGCAACCACTGAAGATATAAAGTTTACCAAATTTCATTCAAAGTAATCAGCGACGTCGGAATAGTCAAATTAAACTGTTCATAAAAATTCTATAATACGCACCAAATTTAGAAAAGTTCAGTTTTGCTACTCTGCGATTCTGTACAAGTTTTATTTTAACGTAGTCGTATTCTATTTTTCGTATTTTGTATTTATATATTCCCTTAATATTGAAAGAGAGGTATGTGAAAGGATATGGAACATTTTATGGGAAAAGGAGAACAAAGAACATACATTATATTGATAATGTAAAGTCCTTAATGCACCCAGCCCAGCACCCAGCCCATGGTCAATATCTTCCGTATTAAGGAGTACTGTACTGTACAAATAAATGAAAATGTGTTTTCATAAAACTTCGAAATGAGCCAAAAAAAATTAAAAAATTCTGAAAATCTGTCAATAAGTGGCTGATTGCATAAGCTTTTTTTTAGAATCAAAAGTATTTAGGGTTTAAAATTTTATATTGGCCAGTCGCTGATTGACGGCGATCAGACTTAAAAGTTTGTGACAACTCGTTATAAGACCCTGTATAAATAAATAATTTGAGGGCCATTTACATCGACAAAACATAAATTTAAAGCCCGTATCAGACAATGCAATTTTGTTGCAGGGATTAGGTTGCCTCGATAAAATCCATGAAATTCTTATCAGACTATGCAATTCTGTCGCGGTAACTGAATTGCATGACATGCTCTATTCCGAGCAACAAAATTGCAGAGATTCTAGTTTTTTTTATGGAGATTTGTTTATTACCAACCTAACTGTTGTTGGCTGTTGGTCATGGTGTTGTTAGTAACACGTTGAAGCCACTATTAAAGCTATACAACAATTAATTTTTAAATTTTCATCCATTGCAACGTTTTGCTTGAATAAAAAATAATTGTTTACAATATACAAGAAAGAAGCAATTCACAGTTGGTAACAGTACTGCAAACTAAACAAATTGCAGCAATTCTGTCCCATTGTGTGATAATAAAGCATGCAATTTTATCCCCGCAACTAAATTCCGGCAATTTTGTCCTCGCAACTAAATTGCATTGTCTGATACAAGCTTAACCCAAAGATTTTATGCAATCCTATCCTATAAAATCCTTAAGTTTAACCCATATCACTGATTTCAGCATACCAACCTTAGATTAGGAAAGAGAGCCTAATCTAAAATACCAACACACGCAGAAAAATAATCCTTCTATAAGCAACACAATATACACTACGCATTACACTCGGATCTATTTGAAACTACATGCAAAAAAACAGGTTCATAAGACCATTTTCATCCTCCGTATTTTAGCAACTATCAATTCATTTTCTACGAACGTGTTGTAACGGGATTCTTCATTTTCTTCCTAATACATGAAACCATTAAATACGTTAGCAAAAAGGAAAATAATTGTCTTGAAAGTAGGACATTTTATATAGAAATTAAATAAGTTTAAGAGACTATTTAACAGTAACTAAGCTAAAAAAACTTTTAATATGCCAAATGGTCACATTTATATTTATCAGCATACAGTTTTGACTGAAATATAAAATAAATAAATCATAAATAACTAGGCATAGAAATTAAGGGATATTTAAAAAATCCTAAAATTTTGGGTGATTTTCGAAGAGCTTTAACTTGGAGGGAAATGGTCGTAGAGAGAATCAAAAATAAGGAAATTGAAGCTTCAAGTATCTAGTTTTCAGATCCGCAGTTTAAATTTTTTTAGCGTCAGCAGTTTTTGAGTAATTATAAGAAAATCAACGGAAAAGAAAATTGTAAATTTTTGCTGTTTTTAAAAAGGCCTATGGACTTAAAAAATTTTTTTGGTAATTTCATCATGAAACTCTTGTAGATAATTTCATTCTCTTCAATTTGCGAGGCTCCGATGCTTTGTATGATTATTTGTCGCTGAGTTATCGTAAATCAAATCAAAAAAATCATTTTTAACTTTGGCAATCAATTACTCGGAAACTAATGGTCGTACAGAAAATCCAAGCAGGGTTTTGAAAACTCTACAAGTCTAATTATGGGTTTTTGATAAAAAAATTTTTTTCAAAGTGAACATGTTGGGTTACAAGAAAGGTAAAAAATTGCATAACTAGGGATATTTGAATAACTTTGCAAATAATTAATAAACTGAGGATATCGACTGTAACTTTTCAACCTCAAACTGTCCTAAAGAAACCCTGATAATTTCAAAACGCTGCGATTTTTTTTCCTAGTGCCCGGAATATTTAAAGTGGTTTTACTGAAAATCAATATAATAAGTAATTTTTCACTTTTTATAAGTTAAAATTGTTTTTTTAATAATAATCCATATTTACTTCATCAAAAAACATTCATGATTAAAAAAAAATCAAATTCAAAAATGTTTTTCAAAATTTTTTCATCAAAAAAAATGCCAAGGCTAAAAAATTTTAAACTGCAGATCTGAAAACTAGACACTTGAAGCTTCAATTTCCTTTTATTTGATTATCTCTACGACCATTTCCCTCCAAGTTACAGCTCTTTGAAAATCAACCGAAATGTTTGTATTTTTTTAATATCGCTTAATTTCTGTGCCTAAATAGTGTATAATATTCCTTTACTTGCATATTGGACATATACATAATTTGAATAAAACCGTTTTGACTGCACAAGAAGAACAAAACTATTAGAGGAATGTCATAATTTAAAAAAGATTCTTCGTCTTTTAATAGTCCTAATTAATTCTTAAGGCAAAATTACCTCCTATTAGCCTTAGCATGACAAAATGGTCACGCTACAGTTTAACCCTGTAAATATACTGCCTGAAGCAACACCTATAATAGTTATAAACTTATGTGGAGTAGTGGTATTTACAACCAATAATCAGGTACAAACAAGTCTAGTCGTGTAAGACGACGCTTGTTGACGTGTGGAGTAGTGTTTCAACAACATACATATTTATAATTTGCTGAGATGAGTCATGCTTGTCAAATAGTGTTCCATATATGTAAAATTATTTTGTATGTTACACCTATGTATCAATTATTTCATTTCAAATTGGCATTATTATATTTATTATCCCTTTTATTTCGTGTATTTCAGAATATCCAGTTAAAACACATAAAATATAAAAAAGATATAACTGTAACTAAAAATATCTTAGACTTTTCAGAAAACTTCAAACTTCAAATGTAGACAGACGAGATGACAGTGACGGTTTTTTTATACTATCTCCGATAAACATACCCCAGCACGCTACTAAAAATTTAGTTACCAACTAGGACTAATAGTTTACTAATTCCTTTTATGAATACAAATTTCTTAGTAGGATCTTAATAGGATGTTAGTAGACAGTATTATCGTATATGAATAAGGCTGAATGTCTGTTATTTCTTTATACCTGATTTTTCATCATACACGATTTACTCATAGACAGTGTCAGACTGGTCTTATATAGTCGAGGTGGCGTTTGCCAGCCGAGCCCTAGCCTGCACGGACCCCCTACCCTACCTACCCCAGGCTTACGACCACATGCAAAATAGTTCCTTCGTACTGCATAATGCCACCCAGGCCCTTCTGGCCCAGTATGACCCTGCTCACAGACCTAAAGATTCAACAACTGAAATTTGAATTTCTGTGGGTTTGTTAACATTTACAATTCCATTTTACTCAGTACTTCATTGTTCGTCTCGCCAGAATATTTTTTAAACACTTTTATGAACCTTTGTATAGGCAACACAATATACACATTATATTAGACTTGAATGAGGCAAATGTAGCAACAGAAAAATAATTCAGTTAGTTAAATAATATAGTAAAAACTAATAAAATAGCAGAAGTATACAATATAAATTTTATTATATCTGTTAATATATTATACAATCAAAATTTGATACAAAAATAGACATAGTACAACAATGATATGCATACATTATTAAGCCAACAGTCGTTAGAACTTGGTCATTACAGTTTAGTCCAGAACAGTTTTCAAAGCAAAAAATGCAAAAAAGCACATCGCATAATTGTATAAGTCCTGAGAAGTTACGTTGAAATAAGTCTCGTTATCATTCTTAATGATGTAATGATTAAATGCATATGAAATGGAAGCAGACACACCAAAATAATTTTGGTGAATGAACGACAAAACACCCAATGAAATGCAGTTTGCTCCTATAACAACATCCACCATATCAGTGTTATAGCTGTTATCACATACGTAAGCTAATAAAGGGAACAGTGATACCAACGTGTATGCATACGCAATCTCCCACATGTACCCATAAGTCAGCCATATTGTAGTCACAACACATGGAAGCGCCAATAAGTCTTGTAACAGTGAGGTGAACCTATATAATTTTACCGCTCTTTGTCCAAATGATGGATTACCTAAAATAAAAAAAAATCTCACCTCTATTTATATATTCTTAAAATTATTAAAAAACGCCATTTTTAACATTTTTAAAATGAGACAGTAAAAACCTCACTTTTAATTTATGCTTAATGTAAACAGAAAAACAGGATATAATATGAATGCAAACTATGCAAATTAATTATTCAATATTTCAGAGTGGTACCAAATTAAGATAATATAATTTTAATCACTGTAGGTAACTCAACAACATATTTTATGTATTACCAGATTTTACTCTAGCAGGATTAAAATCATGGTTTATAATAAAAGAAATGATAAAAAATTTAGATGTTTTGCTGTGAATGTTAATTTTTTAATTAGCAACAAAAAAATTTATTAAACTTATTACTCCTGAATAGGTTTTCCCAAAAATACTTAATGTACTTGCATATACGTATATTTAATTTTCTAGAAGGAGAAAATTACAATTATTTCTTAATTACCTACTTATGTTATTTTATGCTCTAAAATGAATAAAATAATTTAATTCCACTTACCCCATCTCCAAATGCCAATTAATGAATTTAAAGTAATAATACCAAATGATATACGTGGAAAAATATAGGTCTCATATTTCTTTAAACCTATTAAGCAATATATTCCAGTTCCAGCTAGAATAATGTGGGATAATGCTGTGGAGTATCTTGTGGTCATAATTTTTAAATTAAATTGTTCTGTGCCTCCATGAAATATTTGGAGATATTTTACTAAATGTATTATAGAAAAATATTTTCAAATTCAAGGTTATATCACTGCTTTCTCCAAACTAAAAAAAGAAAAACCTGGATGAAACATTTTTAGTACTGTGTTGATACCTATCTAAAAACTGAAATAAATAAAAACTAGTATTCTGTCTGTTAAATATAATTTATACTTATACTATTTACAAATTTATTCCTCCCAATAAAATAATTGTAAATGAAAAATCTATTATTTGGTATTAAATTTCCTTACCCCACTCTAAAACGCGGCACGAATTTTTAAAAATAGATTAAACTAGCTACAACAACCTGTGGCCTAATAAAAACTTGTAAATCATAACTAATAAAAATAAAATAAATATGACATCTCATTACAACAAGGTCAAATTGTTATAAACACTTTATAGCACTGTCGTAAACACATGGAAATAATGTTTCTATCATTCAGAATATTTTTTTAAAGATACAAATACAATTTGCGACATTATGACGAGTGCCATAACCTCAATTTTTGTTTTTACTCAACACAAGTGTCATTGACACCACTGGCACAGAATAAACAGACACGGGATTGGAGATATAAGAACGAAATGGTGGGATTAGAATCATATTCCAACTGCTGTTCACATTTTCTTTCACATAATAATTATTCATTTTAATTCTTTTTGATACTTTGATAGTACTATAATACTGCTAACTCCGTTTATCATTTTGCATATTTTTTACAATAGTTGTGATGGTATTAAATATATTGAAATAGATAGAAATCAATTAAAAAAAAGTAGTCTTGCCAATTATAAGTACCTATCAGTACTTTTCTAATGTCCGCATAACTTCTTATGGCGATTCGTTTATCCTCTTCTGTATAATCCGAGAGTTTCTCATTGCACCAAATAAATGAATTAATGACACGTCAAATCAATAGGAACATAAAAAAACAGAATTGACTGTTAATGTTGAGAACACCCATTAAAAACAGAATTATTTATGTTTTCTTATTTAAAATGATCATTCAAAAATATGTCATAATAACGAAAACAGCTAATTCCCCTCCTATGAATTCATAAAGAAAACCGTAATGACTGATGGACTTCACTTTCAAATTGACCGGTTTGATTAAAAACTTGTTAAACTTATCACCAGTTACCAGTTGGATTGTATAGATACATCAGATATCATCAAAATGCCTCGTCTATTATAATGGGAAACTCGCGAAATGATTTTACTAACGTTTATATTTATTTCGAAACTAAGGTAAAATTGATCAACTTCTTATTTCCGTTGTTAGATCTGGCAGGCACTTTTGTAAAAGTATGCATATTTTACACATATTGGGAACGTGTACTAGGAGACTAAAGTGATTTAATTTCTTTACCGGTTGCTCTGATCAAGGGGCTCTGTTCTTGAACAATGCATATTCATAATAGTTTCTCTCAATTACCGTCGTAAGAAAAAGAAACTATTAACTAACATACACATTGTTCATCCAACGATTCTAGAATAGACTACAAGATCACTTTTATGTCCGTATTTATAGTCGGTACTTCGATCAAACTCAATCTTGAACAATACTTCGCCATAAGAAATTATATTGTGACTCAGTGCTTAAGTTTGAGTTTGATCGAAGTACAGTCCCCCAGGGCACCGTCCTGTCCCCACACCTATACACCATTTACAACTCCGACATCCCACATCCCCCCAACACCAACATATACTTATACGCCGACGACCTGACAATCACATCCCAATCCGTAGATCCTAGATATTCCGTCTACCTCCTCCAAAGCTCCTTAGACCAACTTGAAACCTGGTGCAACAGGTGGAAAGTCAAAATTAATCCCAACAAAAGTTCGGCTATCCTTTTTACCAAACGAAAAATCCCACAAAACCTCGACAGACTGACACTATCCCAGGAACCCATCTCCTGGAATCGACAAACACGATACCTGGGCGTGACGATGGACCAGCGTCTCACGTGGAAACCGCACATCGTGGAGACGGTGGCGCGAGCGAAGACCACCAGGGCTAGGCTCTATCCCTTACTCAAAGGTGGAAACACCCTCAGTTTAAGGAATAAGCGAACGCTTATCAAGGTGGTACTTCAACCGCAGCTAACCTACGCCTCCACGGCGTGGGGTCACGCGGCAAAAAGCCACTTAAAGTCATTACAGGCTGTGGAAAACATAGCCCTCCGCACGGCCACCGACGCGCCCTGGTACGTAAGAAACACTGACATATTACGAGACTTACAATACACAAACGCTACACAGACAATAAGACAAAACGCGGAGAAACGATTTGACGTAGCCGCTAGACATGACAATCCCCTCCTCAGGCAAGCCGTTGACTACGTACCCGACGTGACCGACAAACACAAAAGACCTAGACACCAACTTTTTGACCCTGGGTGACCACCCCAATGACCCCCCCCCTGCCCGCTAACCTTTTCTGTTTCAGAGACAGCCAGGATCAAGAAACGAAGACAACGACACACACACACACACACACACACACCCCCCATACCCTCCTTAACCCTCCCCTCCCGCGCTAGCCTAAGGGCCACCTTAGCAAAGCGCATCCCAGGCTGCATAGCCGCACTACCCTACCCAACCATACCACACATAAACATGACACTACCCCCGGGGTTTACACAGACGAGCCGGCGAAGCAAGAAGAGCGCCAGAAGAAAGGGCCCTAGCCGGCGGGGCCCAGCCAGGACAAAAGGAGGTCCCACAAAGCGCCTACACCGGCCGCATTTGCGGTCGGGGTAGACGACGGATGGGGCCCACCTACGAAGGCTGTCCAGGCCTACACGAGATGAGGCAGGATAAAGAGGGATAATCCCCCTCGATCCCAAATCATTGAGGCCAATTTCTAGCCATAGAATAATGGCGGCGGCGATCGAAGTACCGACTATAAATACGGACATTAGTGTGCGCCAATACTTAGTTGTGCGACGGCCTTTAGAGTTTATAAAAATGTAGAAAAAATGTAAATAATAAATATACTGATGCTCTATGGCCTATGGTATACTGATAATGATTTGAAGTATTTGAACCTTACAGCAAATACTACATGGAGGAAGTACTGCGTGTGCGTGTTAACAGAAGACGCTATAGAGAGAAAGCGCGCTAGTTTGGCTACTCGCTCTCTCTCTTGTAGGGAGAAATTGTGTTAGCCAAACACGTGCCTGAGCGAGAGAGAAAGATAATTCCCAAACCAATATGAAGAGATCAGGTCAGGGGTATGGAAAGAGAAGGCAACAGCAGGTCCGATTTGTTTCGTTCTTCATTACATTATTGTTTATGACCATTTTACTAATACCTAACATTCTATATTTTCTGTTGGTAATATTTAAATTTGTATTAAGAGTTTACCTTCACATCAACGGAGAGACGAAAAGCCCTCACTCACATAGACGAAATGCATATATTAAAAATTGGCCCCATGAACATGAGAATACGTATCTCTTCCAGTGTGTATATTCTTCATTGACACAAACTTAATCTATCTCTGTCTCCTGTCACTATCGCCGTAATCGTGCTTCCTCCATATATGCTCCAGTGATCAGAGTAATTCAAAAGTACTAAATCAAACGTTTTCGATGAATCAAAGAAGAGGAAGAGGAAGAATATAACCTAACCTTAAATAAGTTCATAATTATAACCCATGATTATAACCTAAAAACACAGTTAATATACTATATTAATTATTAGATCTATGGTTTAAAATATGTATATAATTATTGTATAATCTATATTTTCCTTACAAATATGACTATTGTAACGGGCGAATGTAAAACACGATTGTCTTATGAAAACAAACTAATATTAGCTCCTATGGTACGAGTCGGTACCTTACCAATGAGATTATTAGCTTTGGATTATGGGGCTGATATTGTTTATTCTGAAGAACTCATTGACTGGAAATTTTTAAAATCGGTGAGGAGAGTGAATGGTAAGTTACAGGCATTTTGAATGTATACTAAACACCTAAATTCACTTACTCTTATTTTAGATGTATTAGGAACTGTAGACTTTTTAGATTTATCAGATGGAACCGTTGTTTTTCGTACTTGTGGAAAAGAGATAAATAAAGTGGTGGTACAATTAGGGACCAGTGATCCAGCAAGAGCATTAGCGGTTGCAAAATTAATGTAACTTAATTTTACAAAAGATACCTAAATAGCTTTTTAATAAAAAGTACTTTTCAGTGAAAATGATGTTGCTGGTATTGATATAAATATGGGCTGCCCAAAGGAGTTTTCATTGAAAGGTGGGATGGGTGCTGCATTGCTGTATCAACCCGAAAAAGCAAAAAGTATTTTATGTCATTTGGTCGCAAATATTAAAATTCCTGTAACTTGTAAGATTAGAGTTTTTGAGAGTATCGATGATACTTTAAATTTAGTTAAAGAATTGGCATCTACAGGTATATCGGCAATAGCGGTTCATGGTAGAACTAAAGTAGAAAGACCTCAACACCCTAACAGATGTGAAACAATCAAAAAAATTTCTGAAGTTTTAAGTATACCAGTTATTGCAAAGTAAGTAACACGTAAATTCAAATTTTTAAATATAGTTCAATATATTTTTTTATTTGTATATCATACATAACTAATTTTTAGTGGAGGTTCTAGAGAAATAGACAAATACAGTGATATTTTTAAATTTAAGGAAGAATGCGGAAGCAGTAGTGTTATGATAGCTAGAACAGCTGAAACTAATTGCTCAATATTTAGAAAGAAAGGAATGAAGGACTTGGAAGACGTTATTAAGGATTACTTAAAATATGCTGTCGATTACGACAATTCTCCCAGTAATACAAAATATTGTGTGCAAAATATGTTACGAGAATTACAAGAAACACCTAGGGGGAAGAAATTTCTAGAATGTCAAACTTTAGAACAAATCTGGTAAGTTAAATTTACAGGATATTAATGATGTACTCTGCCAAATTTTGATAGTGAACAAATTTTACTATTTTTTTTAAATATCATATAGATTAATGTTTGGACTAAATTTTTTATGGTTACGATATACATAAAATTATATTTCTACCAAAAAAATTCGTACATTTTTTTGTGAAACTATTAGTTTTAGAGTTATTCTCGATTTATTTAACTATGTCGCACTCATTTTAAATTTTTAAAAATAACTCATAAATGGCTTCCTTTTCAAATAAAATAGAAGATAAATTGTTTTGTTGGAAAGCTCAGCAAAGTTTATCCAATTTCTAAAATATTCAGTGGTATCAAAATTCTAAGATTCTTAGGGTGGTATTTTCTACAAATTTTAGCCCATAATTAGTTGTCAGTAACCCAAGTTTCATCAATGTGTGTCAAGCATCTTTGGAAATATTTAAATAAATATAATATATTTTTTAAATTTCAACACCCTGTATCTCAAAACTGAAATGTTTCCAAGTACATGTTTATGTGAAATTTTTTAAGCAAATTAAGTCACTTACTACCAATTAAACCACTAATATGTAATTTTAATTATTGTATTCAAATTAATTCAAAAACTTTTTTTTGTCAATAACTACATATTTTTAATATATTTTTATATACATATTTGCTCTTTAACAAAGTAATACTTAGTATATTTTTATATAATTTTTGTAGTGCTATATGGAATTTAGGGGATTACTGTCGAAAAAAGCAGTTAGAATATCAATCGAAAGGTATACTTGGTCGAAGAGAAGTTACCCCTGACCTACTTGACCCCAAACGAAAAAAGCAAAAGACTGATATAGACGGAGAAGGTGTCCATGTGACGATGAAATGTGCTTTTATCCGAGTGAATTTCGTTACTGATCCTGATCTGCCAAAGTCAAAACTTATAGCTTACTGTGCCAAAAACAAATTCGACTTGCCCAAGTATAAAGTTTTTAACGAAGACAAGTTATTTAGAGCTGTGGCCACTCTAAACGATGTTAAATATAGTTCCTCGTATTGGGAGAAGAACAAAAGATTCGCTGAGCAAGGAGCTGCTTTGGTTGCTTGCGTTTCTCTGGGACTAATCAGTAAAGAAGATTTAGTAAAAGATGGAAGTATTTTGGAATAGGATAATGCATGACGAATGTCATTTCAGTTGTTTGCATTAAGTGACAGAAGACATTTGAAATAATAATTTAAAATATTTGAAATTGTACACAAGGGAAATTGCTAAATCTTATCCCTTTCTCCGGTTATGGGCGTATTTGCACATTACACATGAAATTTTAACAAATGTAGTTTATGAATTAATTTTTTTTACTTATGGTATGGTTTTTATTACTATTTTAAGAATTAGACATAATAAACCACCGTACTGAATGTGCACGATAAATAAAACATGTTTTTAATTTTAATTTTCTATTATGGATATAATTGACTGGTAATGCAAAAATGGAAATGTGTAATATGGAAATGTTTATTTGGTGTGATAATAATAATAAAAAGATAGAAAGGAAAGTACTTGTGTTTTTTGTTTCAGAACATTTCAAGAAAGAAAATGCAGTTTATATTTGACTATACTATCATTTCTGTAAAATCTCAAAATATCACAATTTATAAACAAATAATAATATAAATTAATAATAAACATAATTCAATAATTAAATTATTAAGTCAGTTTTATAACTAAAATTATTATTATTAATTTTCTAGAACGTGTCTTATACTTTATTTAATTTTATATTTTATTTAATGGCGAAACCTACATTAGTTACACCTCAAATAGACTAAGGGAAGTTCCTGGAAGTGCTTCGTTTTTCGTAGTTTTTAAAATTTGTGGAAAACCAAATATTTTATTCCAATCAAACAACATGATTCGGTATAGGTTAATCTATATACAGGGTATCTCACGGTGACGGCCCATTAGAATTATTTCAGAGACTACTTCGATTTGAATTTTGAAAATTTGGGATACCGGGTTTTCGGGCATGCCCTTCTTAACTAAAATAATGGCGTCCACGTACCACTTCCGGTTATACCGGAAGTCGCCATCAACTTGCTTATTTTAAATGGAACACCCAATATATATTATTGCAATTTTGGATTCTACGTAATATTTTAGGTGGACTTTTATAAAGTTTCTCTATTCCTAAAATTAACTGTTTTTGAGATATTTAATTTTTTTCAAAAAAAAATGGAGAGAAACAGTGACTAGCTTCAAACCATGTGTATTTTATAGTAAGAAAGATAAAGCAACAATATTTGTAGGGGGGATAGCTAGACCCCTAAGCTTCCCATCCATACTTTCAAAGTGGCTTAACTCTTTCAGGCACAGAAATTATATTAATTTTTTTACCCAAGCATCACAAAAAATTAAACTATAGCTTTTGTGAATTATAATGATTTTATTGTAAAGAATACTTATAACTAAATACATTACAGGTGATTTTGTGACTGTGTGTTAGCTCACAGACTCCTGGGGGGGTGGTACAGGGTCTGTACCACTATGGCTGAAGGGAAATGATTGTTAAATAATTTTTAAATGTAAGTACTTAAAAAATTCTTACTCTAATATGATAATCTTGATAAAGATTTGTTAGGAACACTATATTGTTAATTATATCAGCTTCAAATAGTAACCTGAATAACTTATATGGAGATGGAGCCTGAATTTCCTGAACAACTCGCGTTACTCCTGAATATTGATCAAAACCAGGTGGTTCCATTATATTATTGGTCTGGCACCAAATAGGATCCGCATCATACTGCAACTGTTTCTGTATATCCCTAATTTTATTCAGAGGTACATTCCATTCAGAACCATCAGATTCTGAATCTTCTACAAAAGCATAAACAATATCATCTTGTTGCATATTATCTTCTACTTCCACAGTACAATTAAATTCTCCCTCATACCATTGATTATCTAGTTCGCCATTAACTATTGAATCTTCATCTGAAGGAAGGTTTTCAAATTCTTTCAAAAATTCGGCTCTAGTCCAGCCTTTCAAATTTATATCGTCCATTACAATCTATAAAAACACAATAAAACGAAAGTAATAATTTTGGTCAATGTTCATGGTGGTACATAATTTGTACCACCTCAATTTTATCAAAGATTATGTTAGCGAATATTACTTTGTACTTACCAGTGTTCTGATCTGCACTAATACACTTTCAAGCTTATAATAAAAATTTTAAACTAAAACACCTTATATTACTTTAAAATCACGGGAATATTGCAACACATGAAGGGATTATAAAATCTAATCTAAAAACTACTTCTCTACAAAGCCAACGGTCACAAAATCAAATATATTCAGAACAATATTTAGTAGGCAACCAATATAACACATTTTAAGGGGGGGTACAATTCTAAGTCGGCTGTGACAGTTGGGAAATGTTTTTGATTAACTGGTACAAAATGTGTACCACCAAGACCTGGAGGAATAAAAAACGGCGGTACATTTTATGCACCACTGAGACTGAAAGAGTTAATTGCTTACAGGGTGCTAGAAATTTAATGCCGAGTTTAGTTAACTTCAAACCTTCATAAGTCGGTTTTTTTTAAATAGAACACCCTGTATATTTTTCTATATTCTGATCAGGGTTCCCTATAACTATCTCTTAGTTTTTAAGTTATCTACTATTTTTTGTGTAATCACCTAAAATCATGTAATTTCTTTCAAGGATAGCTTTGGAATTTTTAGCAAAACTTCAAAACAAACAACTAAACTGTCACCAGTTGTTTATTATTATTTATTCACAGACGTTGCAATGGGATTCTAAACAGAACATTTACAGTTTTTAATGAGATATATCCCAATTTTCCACCAATGAGCAGAATAAAGTTAAGAAGAATTCTAAAAAATCAACACAATTTTAATTGTTTTTAATGTATATGTTGATAATAAAAAGTTGATGGCGACTTCCGGTATAACCGGAAGTGGTACGTGGACGCCATTATTTTGGTTGAGAAGTTCCCGAAAACCCGGTATCTCAAATTTTCAAAATTCAAATCAAAGTAGTCTCTGGTATCAAGGCATGTACACGTCGATAATGATAGGCATGTAGGCCTTGTCGCTTTAATATTCTTCCAACCTGAAATGTTAGTGGCACATCTAATCAATTCTGTTAAGGAAATCTATAAGATATGTAGTACCGTTGGCCGAGGAACATTTATTTGCCTTGAAATGTTCCGTATGCTAGTCGTAGGATCTTGTTCAATAGCGTCAAGGACCTCCGCTTCCCTATTAATCCTGGGACGTCCTTGCCCCGGTGCCTTTCGAAAAGGGGCGGTTGCAGCTAAGTTGCGGAATACCGTAGGGAATGTCCTCCTTGATGGCAGCCTTCGGTTTGGAAACCTTCTCCCGTACTCGCGTTCTGCCGCTGCAGCATTACCATCGCAAAAGTCATAAATAAATATATCAACTAACTCTTGTCCCGTAAACTCTTCCATTTTTTTCGCTTAGAATTATAAAATTGGCAATCGGGTTGACAATACTTTGACATAAGAATACCTTGATAATTTTGTTTAAATTACTATGAAATTGACCAAAGTGAGATTAATTCAAGAGAGAGCGACTTTTTCAGAAACCGTTAAAGATAACGATTTGAAACAAGAGTACCTTTTTAACGTAAAACAGTTCGGGAAAACGGAATTTGCTATCCAATTTGTTAAAAAGTCAAAGATGAAAAAGTTACACACGCAAAGTACCAAGGGCCCCCCCGTACACACCCCAATGGACCTTGTGGAAATAAATGGATTAGTCCATCAAATTACTCATCAAAATTTATCTGTGTATACCAAATTTCATTCATTTATCACAACGCGATTGAGAGATATTGCAAAAAAATGATTTCCATTCCGTCCTCTTCAATGGGTCCCTGTGCCCTTAGGAAGCATTTCCGGACCCATGTTCATATGAACTTTTTTACTTAGTTTTGATAATAAAACCGGCATGTTCAGGGTTGGCAGCTAATTATGAGACACCCTGTATTCTTGTTTTAATTTCGGTGGAAGGAATTTTATTAGATTTAAGACTTTTTTATGCGATGTGTTAATATTTTCATATTGACAACTTGAGACATTGAAAATCAATTTTCTGTAATTCTGGACCTTAATATGTGGAAAATTAATAATCAGAGAAATGTTTATTCGAATTTTTATTCCAAATGAGAAGTTCAGAGAAGTGATGTTCAACTACTAAAACTTCGGAAAAAATGTATAATATATAAAAAACCTGAAATAGAAAAAAGTCTTACAAGGAAAAGATCTTTCCAGCTCTGTATCAAAACTAGAAATATTTCAGAAAAAAAATTACCAGAGCAGCTCCGGCCACAAAAAAAAAATAATTTTCAAAATTAGATCATCTGTAATTGTTTCCAAGAAAAAATGCACCCTATCGGTATTTGAGCTTTTCTTCAACAACTAACATTTTTTCATGTATCTCGATAAAAGTGCACCTTAATGACATGCAGCCACAACAAAAGAAAGTATTTTACTTATTATGATGAATCCAATTTGAACTGTCTCGGAAGAAAAACAAAAACGAGTGAAAATTAATATATGCACCTTCAAAACAACACCATTATTTGTAAAAAAAACTGACAAACATAAGTTTAAGGACAATAAAATTATTTAACTGCAATCTTCATATTAAATTTCAGTGAAATCATTTCAACTGTTTTTCTTATAATTAGCTACTAAAAAAACTAATAACTTTTTGGTTAAGCCTACGTATACACTATTCCAAGAAGGTATATTTTTAATATTAATATATCATTAAGTTCATAAAACTTAGTCCCATAGACTACTAAATGATAGCTTGCTAAGTTAATAAATTATTTGCGAGAAACCCTACTGCATTTCTAGTTATAACCTGTTACAGACTGTCATATGAGATTAAGGTCTGATATGATAAATTGGAAACTGGCAAATATTTAACTTTTATTTATCAGTAGTTACCTATATTACTGTTTTTTTATATGACGATTAATCTTCAATCAATTCCGTTGAGGTCATAAAGTCATAAATGGTTTTATTAAAATGAAAAACTGTTTACAGGGAACAGGGATACATTTCCACGTATTTATATAATATATATTTCCACTATTTGCAGCCACACTTTATATAATTAAGCAACTCTCAAAAATATACGGGGCGAGATATAATTAGGTGTAAAAATTTTAACCAAAATATCCGCAAACCAAAACAGAGTAATTAACTGAAAAAACAAGTATACAAAAAGATTCTGGTTATATTTAATGCAAAAGTATTTATTATGCATTTATATTTTCCTTTTTACGTTCAATGCGACATACAAATATGATCAACGCAAGATAAAGAATCTGACCGGTTTTTTCAGAACAGGCACAATTTTCTGTTTATTTTAGAAAAATACTTATAAAAGGTGTAAAATTAAAGATATTTGGCTTCGTGCAAGAAGTCATGGCAGGATGCAGGACAATTGATGACATATTATCTCAAATGTGGACGTCCATTGAAATTCAGAACGGTTTAGCAACCCTAAACTGAATATACCTTAGTACTAACATACTTCCTTAAAAAGTTATGAGCCTTAAAATTTTTTTTGGGATAACTAAACATAAATATAAGCTTATTGTTTAAGCTAAACCGTAGAGGTTGCTGAGAACGCCTTAAACTGCCTTTTGTTTTTTGCATTTCTTTGTAGAAATTTTGAGAAACTTGTTTTATTCTGTTCTCTCTATTGGTCCTCTCATTAGCTCTCACCTCGGAGGAATATTTACTTATTCCTTTGAGGGTCTCACTAATGTAGCCTCGACCTAGAGGAATTGGGTTACTGCATAATCCTCCAACAACGCGCCAAACTCATCGTGGACTAGGCGCTGATTGAAGATATTCCCTGACCGACCTCCTTCCATTGCGGCTTTCTGTAGCTCATTCTCAAAGCTTGGTATATGGACCTGATGTTCTCAAGAGTATGACACTCTCTTTTTGTTTCATGTAATTTGTATTACACCATCTTGATCATACTTTGCACTAAGGTTTTCAACTGAGTTGTTTCTTACTTCTTTGCTTGTTTTCGGCTTTGGTTAAAGAGTACTTTGTTTTGGAATAAAGAGGACGGATTCCATAGTTAATACTAATATGGACACAAAATTGACCTAGGTCTAAGTCAGCTGCAATGTCAACAATGAAACGGACCCTCTTGCTGGCCACTTAGTCCTGGTTACTTAGAGGAAAGTCCAGAGGAGAACCAGAGTCAACGTCCGAACGCTCTGCGCGGGATGACTCCGCCAAGCCCTAAACTGGGTCCTCGATTTCTGACATCTTGACTTTTTAGATTTAGGCGATCTTTGCGCTCATTTCGATCTGTTATGAGATCTGACTGAAATCTTAGACGAATGTAAGTTAGCTTGGTCTCGTATTCCAGCACATATTTCATGTTATACCTTTGTTTCCCGGTAAAATTCAAAACTGAGGAACTTTTTTTAACGTGCCGCGAGAGTATTCGGCGGTCGCTCTACCAACAACATTCAGCTGTCTGGGCGTCATCTGCTCTGGCTGGGTGAGTTTCAGGGAGAAGTTACCATTCTATCTAGTGAGTTTGAAGCACTGCGGCTCAGTAAACAATTTCCGTGGTTGAATTATAAACATGAGTGAAAATTTGGATTTTTCAACCGACGCTCTCTTAGTGCTTGTGGCGACAGGCTCCAAGCCATCGGACGTTTTTTCCCTAATCCCTTAGTTCATAAATTCAATCATATTTGCAATTTGTATTGTTTCTTGTCAAGAATGGGCTCTGCATACATATAACTTTTTGAATACAAGTTTTTAATGGATTTCCATTGCAAATATTTTTCATAGTTAGATAGACATTGTTAAAGGAAAATAACTAAATTGTCTTGCACCTTCCGGTATAAAGTGTATTAAATTTTTATTTTGCCGAATTATTTAAAAAAAATGTGTAATCACAACACATAAATGATTTTGTAGGTAAATATTGCGTTTAAACTGATTGCATATAATGCAGAGAAAAATATTAATTCGAATTGTTTTTTTCTATCTATCTACATTTTCCATAGAAGATTGTTTTTATATAAAAAAGGTCCTCGAAGGGTACGAGATGAGATGCACGCCAGTTCGTTGACATCAGCACAATCAGAAATACTTAAAAACTTTTCACGGGTAACAAATGTATATAATTTGGGGAGGGAACGGAGATGCTCATCTGCAGCTACCTCTGCGGGGCA